AACAGATGGGGGAATAGGTGATATATATTGATTCCTATTCCATGGGATCGTGATGCCGACCACCAACCAAACAGGTCCTTAGTTGGATACAACTATTATGATGTTAAGCTTATCGTGTATTGAAATTAATACTTGTACCAAATTGAATATAAAATCAGAATTGAAATGAAAGCTTTAGTTAATTAAAAAACTAACACAAGTAATACATACATACAGGAATGACTTTGCCAATTATGCGGAATTTTGTTTCAAGACATTTGGTGACAGAGTAAAGAATTGGATGACAATTAACGAGCCAAAGGTGACTGCTGCTCTTGGGTATGATAGTGGGGTCATGGCTCCTGGAAGGTGTTCCAAAGCTTATGAAAACTGTACAGCTGGGAATTCTGGAACAGAACCTTACATTGTAGCCCATAATCTGTTATTGTCTCATGCAGCTGCAGTTGAGAGATACCGTGAGAAGTATCAGGTGAGGTGATTAGAACCACATTTGTTATTTATAATGTAGATCTGATTGAAATAATTATATGTAGGCACACCAAAAAGGGAGGATTGGAATTGTGTTGGATTTAGTTTGGTATGAACCACTTACCAGAGCAAAAGCTGATCAATATGCAGCTCAAAGAGCAAAGGACTTCCACATTGGATGGTAACAGAATTGAATAACTCAAATGGTGATCATTTAATAATGTTTCGGCCGGAACGGAACTTTGTTATGGCATGCCACGTACTGTTTGATATTCTTTTGGCTTTACTGCAGGTTTCTTCATCCCATTGTATAACAATGCAGGATATCGTTGGGAAGAGACTTCCCAAATTCACAAAAGAAGAGGTTAAAATGGTGAAGGGTTCAATTGATTTTCTGGGCTTCAACCACTACAGTACAGGCTACGTGTATGACCAGCGTCAAACTAACAAGCAAACCCCACGCTATCAGAATGCCTGGAATGCTGGAATTTCTTGTATTTTCTCTTCTTTCCTTACTATATCCCCCCTTTTGTTCTATGAGACAATTACTTCTCTCACTGATCCATGATTCTGTGTAAACCTTGCAGTTTTCAAAAGGGGGCTGGCAATTGGTCCAAGGGTAATTAAAATATAACTACAATTTCTCTTTTGTGTTGCTCTATTAATTTTACAGACTGAATTGAAAGTTTGAATGAGGATCCTGTAGTTCTAATAATTTAGTTGGATATATTGATGTTTTGGATCTTCCAAGGCAGCCCACATGATCTTCTGAATATCCTATATAATTACCATCATCTTTTAATTTAGTTTGTGGTGTTAACATCTTAATTTATCTTTAATTTAATTAGGTTATAGCTTGATGTTTCTTTTTGTTTTGGTTTAATAAACGCATCATTTTCTATTAATTTGATCATCTGTGCATCTTGCAGGCAAATTCTTTTTGGCTTTATGATGTGCCATGGGGTTTGTACAGGGCTCTCATCTATATAAAGGAGCATTATGGGAATCTGACTGTGATCTAGTAATTAAGCATTGCCTTGCATCTGAGATATTTTTCTTCATATTAATTATTTGAATTTTACAGGTAGAAATTGAAAATTAACAAAAGTAACAATATGACTAAAAATAAATTTAGATGCTTGTAGTAATGTGTGCGTGCATTGCATGTGGAAATTTTAAATTACAATTATTATTATTATTATTATTAAATTTTGTATTCCATTTGTTATAAATAAAAATAATTTTTATTTTAACAATTATTTTATTTTATATGACAAATATATAACATTAGAAAGTTGAGTCCTTGACCCACCATCAAGATAAGAAAATAACTTTGCTTTCAGATCAGTTTTAAATTATATATTTCATTTACATTATATAAATATTTTTTACTTATCACACTTAATTTGTGTTTGATATAATTAATATATAATCTTATATATATTATTTTGATTACTTGTACTTTTTTTTATCTTTTTAAAGATTTATTATTTAACTATCATATCATTGGTTGAACATTTTGACCCAAACCACTAATCCACCACCCAAAAAAGAAAAGGATTGATTTCTAGGATTACATTAAATTTTGTATTACATTTCCATCATTCATAAAATTATCTCTTATGTTTAATACTTATTTTTGTTATTTTATCAAAAACTACTTATTTTTGTTCAATATACTGAATACATAATATTAGAGATGCACCCACTATTTTATTTTTTATAAAAATATAACATTAGATATGTGCCCAAATTTTCTCTATTTTTTGTGATTCTTTGTATTTTCTATTTTTAAAAATTTTATTATTCGACTATGACATCATTTCATCTCTAGGTTGATAGTAAATTTGGCATTCCATTTTCATCATTAATAAAAATATTACTTACATTTTATACTTACTTTTTCTTAGTATAATGAATATACAATATTAGAGATATGTCCAATTCTTATTATTTTCTTTGTATTATATATTTTATTTATTATTTATTAACCCATTTGACCCCAAATGGTTGAATTGCTTACCACCACTATTAAAATTAATTTTGTGGATTTAATTAGTAAAATTTAATGATAAAAAATATATCTTAAATATAATATTTAATAAGAGGATGTATAGAAAAATGGTTTTAAATTTTACATTCCATTTCCAATATTGGTAAAAACATTTCTTATTTATAATACTTATAATTGTTTAATATGTCAAATATATGATGTTAAAAATGTTCCCAATTTTTTTCTTTATTTTCTATATTCTTTTTATTTTATCTATTTTTGAATTTTATTATTTAATTGTGGCAACATGAATTCTTTATTTTAACAAATATTTTTATTTAATATGATTAATATAAAACATTATAAATGTTCCCAAAAATTTTCAACAAAATTCTGTACTTTATCATTCTTTGTGTTCTATATTTTTTTTAAACATTTTTTTATTCAACTATGAAATCATGAGTATCTTTGAAAAGTTTAATCATTGACCCACCATCTAGATAAGAAAATAGCTTTGCTTTCGAATCCATTGTAAATATATATTTCATTTACATTATATAAATATTTTTTACTTATCACACTTTTTATCTATTCTTTTGACATAATTAAAATATAATTTTTTATCTATTCTTTTGATTACTTACACTTTGTTTTTATTTTTAAAGATTCATTATCTAACTATCATATCATTTATCAATCCATTTGACCCAAACCACTAACCTACCACCTAAAAAGAAAAATAGTTTGATTTCTTGGTCAACACTAAATTTTTCATTACACTTTCATCATTGATAAAATTATTTCTTATGTATAATACTTATTTTTTTCAATATATTGAATGTATAATATTAGAAATGTACCCAATATTTTTATTTTTATAAATATATAACAACAAAAGTGTCCCAATTTTTTTTCTAATTTTTTCTTTATTTTTGTGATTCTTTGTATTTTTTTATTTATAAATATTTTCTTATTTGGTTATGACATCATTTCATTTCTGGGTTGATTTTAGATTTGACATTTCATTTTCATCATTAATAAAATTACTTCTTACATATGATAATTATTTTTGTTTAGTATAATGAATATATAATATTAGAGGTATACCCAATTCTTTTTTCTTTTTTGAATGTTGATATTTTATTTATTTTTAATGTATTATTTAATTATGGCATTATTAGTTAACCCATTGACCCAAATGGTTAAATTGCTTATCTATCACCAAGAGGGAAGAAAGTGGTTTTGTTTTCAATTTACTTTTAAAAATATTTATTTTATGCTATTAAAATTAATATTATGAATTTAATTAGTAGAATTTAATGATGAGATCTTAAGTATATGATTTAATGAGAGAAAATACCTTAAATATGAGATTTAATAATATAAAAAATAGTTTTATTTCCAATTGATTTTAAATTTTATATTCCATTTCCATCATCAATTAAAATCTTTCTTATTTATCATACTTATTATTGTTTAATATGTTGAATATATTATGTTAAAAGTGTCCCCATTTTTTTTAATTTTTAAATTTTTTGTATTTTATTTATTTTTGAATTTTATTATTTAATTGTGGAAACATGGATTGACCTATTTGACTCAAAATGGTTTAATTTCTTACCACCACCTAGATGAAAACACTACTTTTTAGGTATATTTTAAAAGTATAAGTTTTTATGTTATTAAAATTATTAATTTATTATGTATGGATTTAATTAATAGAATTTAATGACATGTTTGATTTAATGAGAGAGAATTCAATGAATTGGATATCTTAATATTACCTTTTTCAACTCATTTAATATCAATAACTGATTACCCTATTTGCCCTCTTATTTTATCAATAAATTTAAATATAGAGGGATAAGTCTTGAGAAAATTCCAAAAATATTAGATTCTCCCCTCTGCCTTTTAATGATTTGAACCTTAGTGGTCAACTTATTATTTTATAAGGACCATATGTCCACCACTACGTATCCTATAATTACTTGTCAAAATAATATGTCGTTTATTCTTAGGCAAATAAGTTGAATAAGATTCGATTCAAATTCAAATTTGACAAATAAAAGCCAAACTTGAATACCTCCTTTGATCCTAACAAATTGGATTGAAGTTGTATTGAAAAATGAATACATTTAATTAACAAATCGAATTCGAATATACCTTGACCTAATCCGTCACAACCGGATAAAATTCCTTAGTTATAAAATATTATATATATATATATATATTATTTATATAATTATATGTTATAAGATATTCAAACTCAGATTTGAATCACTTTAGAATCTGACATATTTTTATTGGATTCGAATCAATATAAAAGATGTCTTCTCGAATTGGATTATACCGTTTATCCGTATCCTATCCAATTATATACCGTTTATCCGCATCCTATCCAATGTTAACATTTTTATTGGATTGTGGACAAATGTTAAAATTGATTATTAAAATTTTTACTAATAACTAACGAGATTTTTTATCGTTAAGATTTAAATACCCCTTTGTTTTATTTTAAGTTCTTTATAAATACATGTTGCGTTTAAATACCCCTTGGTTCTAATCCAATTCCCAAAATACCAAAGCTTGTATTTCAACCCGTTTGACCCCTCAGCTGATGAGTGATCGATTAGACCGGTGATGGAGTCATCCCATGATCATTCACTCAACCTCTGAAAAATTCAGAACTTTTTTATGACATCTTCACATGTTCATTATGGCACAATCTTTTAAAAACAGAACCATAACGCCTCGAATGCAACACAACATACAGTCATAAACCTTCTTCTTATCCATTCCCAAACAAGAAACGCAACCCAGCCTTAAATCCATTCCCTAACAAACCACCTTACTCAACGTGGCTGACCCCTCTCTAGCCCACGGCCCACGGCCCACGAAACAAGCTATTCTAGTTGAAATGGCGTTGATGTATTATTGTGATTTACGGTTTTAGCCCTCAGTGCGCTACTCCCAGTCCCAAGTGGGGAAGTAGCTGATTTTTGAGCAAATGAACATGGATGGGCTTGAATTTAGCCAACCAAACAAACGGGAAGCAGGTAGGCCATTTCTGTCATTTTAATACAGATAGAAGGAGGGTACTTTCGCCATCTAAAGGAAAAAATAGCATGGGTCAGGTTTCACCACTCCACTGCGTCGCTTTTGGGTTACTATTATGCTTCTCTCTCTCGTCTTCTATAAATTCTTCCATCTTTTACTACTCTTCTTCGATCAACACCAAACAACCTTCCCTTCGTCACAGGCTCAAAATCAAAGATGAGAGCTCCGCCACTTCTGTGTTTCTTGAATCTTCTCCTTCTTATCGTCTGCGTCGTAAGTGTATCGGAGACAGGTCTGGATGCACGGCCGGAAACCGTCCGGTTCGATACCGGAGGGCTGAGCAGAGAGAGCTTTCCGAAGGGATTCGTCTTCGGAGCCGCCACGTCTGCGTACCAAGTGGAGGGAATGGCCAGCAAGGATGGTAGAGGACCTAGCATTTGGGACGCCTTCCTCAGGATTCCCGGTAAAAAACTACTTATCTCAAATATTGAACCTAGATTACCATTTTTGCCCTTCTGTTTCTTCCCATTTTCCATTCCATTTCATCTCCTTATTCCTTTCTTAACAAGTGATGAAACAGGAATTGTTGCAAGCAATGCTACAGCGGAGGTGGCAGCGGATCAATATCACCGCTACAAAGTAAGATTCAATCTGTCATCATTTCGGTCGTTCTTATCCATTTGATCAGATCAAATGCTGGATTTCTCAAAAAAAAAAAAAGCTTCATTTCAAGATTACGACTCGTAGGGATGTACTGAGGACAGGGGATGGTGTTGATGAATTGCACGGTGGAGTAGCTGGAGTTGCTTTCACCAGAAAAGCATAGCTGAACCGCTCCATGTAGTGAAAAAGGGTCCGACTGACCGAGTTCTGATTTCTGAACTCGCAGGCGCATTCGAATCTTTTGGTAACTTGGCACTCAATTCAAGGCCTCGGCTAAAGCTGGGAGCCTCAACAAGTATTGATATAATCGGGTCGGACCAGTTAACATCCGAATCTTCTCCGGTTATCAAAACTTAAATCCAAATCCGATTTGGTTTCGGTTCTTATTATTGGGTGTTCGGATATTCAGAGATTTTATCAGAATCTGTTTCACCATTAGGAAGGAAATTCCTACCCTACCTAGTTAGGGGTGCAAATGGCCGATAAGAATCCGATCCTATTTTTTGTCGGATTCTAATAACTCTGTCAGATTTTCGGATTGGATTGGGTAATCGAATCGGATCACCCCTATCCGATTTGAAAGGATTCAATCTGATATATATTATTTATTTATTTATATAAATATATATTATTTATATTATATTTTTGTAAATTTAATATATTATTTATTTTTTACAAAAACATGTATATATGACCAAAATAGTTGAAAAGATATTTGTATTTTTTGTGTTTCTTTATTTAAATTATTAGATTTTTTTTCTTTTAATAATTTATTATTATTTTTTTTAAATTAGATCGAATTTGAACATTTGACGGTCTTATTGGATTTGAATTCAAATCCATGTTTATGAGATCCAGTCAGATCTTTGAATTGGACCGGATCTCCCCTTAACAATCGTGTTTGGCCTCAAATTATAATTTTTAATTTTTTTATAAATAAAATAAATTAAAAACCGAATTAAAAAATATAAATTAAATATAAAATAATACATATAACATATCTAAAACATATTTATACATTATTTATTACTAAAATATATATTGATACACATATATACATACACATGCAATGACGTGGCACGGTCTGAATCATTTGACTCAGTCGAACCAGTGACCCACAACCCAGAGGCAAAAACGCTTCAGCCTTCGTGTCAGATTTTAAAACATTGGTCTGAACAGTAATTGTATGGGTATTTTAGACAATTTTTTTGTCTTTTGTTAGAAAATAAGGGGTCTATTTGCAATTATTTTAAGAGGTTTTAGTAATGGTCAAAAAACTTTAAGGTATGTTTCAGCAATTTAAGCAAAAAGAAAAGAAAAATGATGAAACAAACAATATGTACAGGAGGACGTGGATATCATGGCAAACTTGAACTTTGATGCATATCGCTTCTCCATTTCATGGTCCAGGATTTTTCCAGGTAATAAAGACAGTATCTCTCTCTCTTAATTACTGACTGTGTGATGTTTTATAATATTCATTTGGCTGTTTTCAACTTTTCATGCAGATGGAGCGGGGAAGGTAAATTGGAAGGGAGTTGCTTATTACAACAGGTTGATTGATTATATGCTCGCCAAAGGTAAATCTCCAAGAAATTCAGGAGACGGACAATATTTTGATTACTAATTTAGAACCCCGAAACTATATTGAGTCATTTTTCTTCTGACCAGTTCTTCAGTTCTGAATTCAGATGATCCAGTTTCATTGTTCAACCATTTAATTTCTTGGTTCAATCTAGTACTTGAAATATCGATTCTGATCCTCCTTAGTATTAGTATAATAACATTTTGCATTTGTACCGGCTGAATTGGTTTTAAATATTAGACCCATAAGCGATGCTAACTGATGGCATTCCACCATTTCTAGCTTTGATATTAAATCTCTGATCAATTGAGCAAGGGAAAAAAAAAAACAGAAATCTAAGCATTTGTTTGACCTGTAGGTATCACCCCATTTGCAACTATATATCACTATGATCTTCCCTTAGCTCTTGAGCAGAAGTACAAAGGATTATTAAGCCGAAAAGTTGTGTAAGTATATTGTTATATTAGTCACTAGAACTTAAACATAATCTTTTAGTTTATTTAAAGCAGCTTAACTGTTTATTGAAATACTTGAACCAAATCCTTTATACTTGGTCTTGAAATTTTTAGTTGATAAGAAATCTCAGCAACTAATGCAAAACAATACAGGAAGGACTACACCAATTTCGCGGAATTTTGTTTTAAGACATTTGGTGACAGGGTGAAGAATTGGATGACACTGAATGAACCAGCAGTGGTCTCCACTTCTGGTTATGGTAATGGGGGTAGTGCTCCCGGAAGGTGTTCCAAAGCATATGGAAACTGTACAGCTGGTAATTCTGCAACAGAACCTTACATTGCGGCCCATAATATGATTTTGTGCCATGCAGTTGCAGTTCAGATATACCGTGAAAAGTATCAGGTCAAAACTCAAACATGTTTTAATTTGTTTTTTCTAGTTGAAATCATTCAAAGCCATGATTGGTGAGCTTTTGTATCTGATTGCATAATTTCTAGGCACACCAAAAAGGAAGGATTGGTATTGTCTTGGATTTTATTTGGTATGAACCACTTACTAGAAGAAAAGCTGACCAATATGCAGCCCAAAGAGCAATAGACTTCTATCTTGGATGGTAACAGCATATAACTCCATTGAAATAAAATAGCCTTAACTTAATGATCATCCGTTGAATAGTACTGTTTGTGAAATTTTCATGGGCTGTTTGTTATTATTGGTTTTGCAGGTTTCTCCATCCCATAGTATATGGTGAGTATCCAAAGACAATGCAGAACACTGTTGGAAAGAGGCTTCCCAAATTCACAAAAGAAAATATTAAAATGGTGAAGGGTTCAATAGATTTTTTGGGTATCAACCAATACACTGCACACTATGCATATGCTCTACATCAAACTAAGAAACATGCCCCAGGCTATGAGAAGGACTTGAATGTTGGCTTTGCTTGTATTATCTTCTTCCCTCACAACCCTCTCTTGTTAAAACTTATATCCTATGAGAATTACTTCTGTTACTGATCCATGGTTGTTTGTAAACTTTGCAGTTGCCAAAAGTGGGGTGCCAATTGGACCAAGAGTAATTAAAATAACTGTACCTTATCTTTTTATGTTGGTCTCTATATCTATTAATTTTATAAATTGTAATTCTAATCTAATTGGGCATATTAATCGTTGGCTTATGGTTTGTTACCCAATTTACATTGGTTTAGGATCTTCAATTCTAATTAATAGAGCTATGGCTTACTTAAATGAAACATCTTTGGTAACTTGATAATTTGAATATTTTCAGGCAAATTCTGCTTGGCTTTATGATGTTCCATGGAGTTTATACAAGGTTTTGACCTACATTAAGGAGTATTATGGGAATCCAACTGTGATAATAACAGAAAACGGTATGGTGTACAAGCCTTGAATTTTAAATTTTTGTATTATAGCTTTCCAATTAGAAATAAATTAATCTGCTCATTTGATCCCTATAACTCAATAGTTTCTGATACCAAATAAAGGACAATTTATAAAACATAATATCACTTGAGGTCCAACTGTGACCCATAGTTTCTTCTAAATTGTTTAGCAAATATGGATTATTTTTGGAACAAAGTACAATTAGGATCTTAGAAGACATTCTAATTCTGTCCATTGGTGCCAATGAATATGCTTTCTTCTTAAAATAATTATCTGATGGACCAATATTTTGAGACTTTAAGACTTGCCCTGAATTTTATTTCAAGCACATTGGATGGCAGGCATGGATGAACCTGGTAATGTGACACTACCCAAGGGTTTGCATGACACTAGGAGAATCAATTTCTATAGAGGCTATTTGACTCAACTCAAGAAGGCAATAGATGATGGGGTCAATGTGGTTGGCTACTTTGCATGGTCACTCATAGACACTTTTGAATGGAGATTAGGGTACACAACAAGGTTTGGCATAGTCTATATCGACTTCAAAACTCTTAAGAGATACCCAAAGATGTCTGCCTACTGGTTCAGAGAACTACTTCACAGAAAGAAGCACTAAAGCATGCAGTACTGACCAACCTCTCCCTCTTTATCCTTCTCTCACCTATCTTGCTGTATAATAATGCTTTTGGGGTATGATGGTCCATATTATAGAATTAGTACATGTATTTGTTCTTTATTTTTCTTTTTTATGGTTTAATTTTATTTATCAACTATTAGTCCTCCTGTCAAGATTTTTGTTGATTTTTAACAAAAGAACTAAATCTTGTTCTCTTCCTGTTATACTTTTTTTCTCGTATGGCATTATTCATACATCAGTAGACCTTTTATTTCTTTACAATTGCTTTCCTTCAACAAGCCTAAGAAATCAAAACCACTCCAATTACACTAAAGGAAAAAATAAAAGAGTACAAAAAATTATCCAGAAACCCAGTACTTTTCTTGGAAAAATCTACTAATAACTCGAAGGGATATCATCTAGCAGTTCTAGGTGTCTAATGGATTATAATCAAACCACTCCAATTACACATCTGTGTTTCCATTCATCATGTTATTTGATTAATCAGTAATTCAATTACACGTTTTAGTCGTTCAGCCAATTTAATTGATCATTAATCCAAACCAAGTTTCAAAGCAAATTAATACTTTGGGTTTCTTTGGAGACACCCATCTCAACTGTCAACCAAATTACATGGTAATATCCCCACTCCCTCGCCCATGGTGTTCAATCGATTTTCGGGGTCACCAAAAATACCAAGGCCCCGTTCTTTTTTTTTTTTTGGCAGAGAAGGCCCTGGTAAGTTGAATGTGGATGAATAATTTACCTTTACCTGCGCGCTTGTTGAAGCTGATAAGAACTTTCTTTACCTGGATATCTAATAGTGTACAAATTTGTTTTTGCTTATGTAAGTTTACCTAAGTACTGGGATTTAGGGGTTTTTATAGGTTTGACCATTAGAACCCCTCCTAATATACTTATTTTTGAAATACTGAACTGAAAATTTTAAAAAGTAAAATGAAAACTTGCGACATACTATTTTGCAATGTTTTCAAAATTGAATCGGTTCTATTTCAGCCCTGAACTGCATTTTGGCCAAAACCAATTGATTTGATTAATAAGTCACTGATTTAGGCAGTCGAATCATCGATTCGTCAACCCAAACAATGATTTTGGTTATTTTTTTTATTAAAACAGGCCATCTGTTCAATTCAAACAGTCGAACCGTTCAACCCGAGAACCAGACCCCAGAATGATTCCCTGTCCAGCTCGATTTTAAGAACCTTGCTATTTTATGTATTTTAGTATCAATATTTTGAACCTAGCCTTCACTCCCTTCCATACCAGTGACTCAGCAAGCCATTAGAACCGTAGGGTGTATGTGGTATGGCCAATAGGCCTCGATGTTGAATCACATGTAATGTTTCTCTCAAGAACATTAATCTGTGTTAGGTTTAAAAGAAAAGGTAGGGAACCCTAAAAGCTGTATGAACAGAAACCTACCAGACCCAAGAAAGAGAGCCCAAAGCAAAGAATTTAAGCTTCAATCCATGCACCTTTTATCTTTCTACCGAAAAAAGAAAAAAAAAAAAGAAATTCATGCACCTTTTACAATTGAAAATAAAAGATCGACGTTGAGGCCTTGGACTGGATTTTTCTCTTTTTTTTCTTTTTTGGTGAAGGCCTTCGGCTGGATACTGATTGGCTATTAGTATAATAAATAGTAAAGATATAAATTGATATTGTACAAAATTTATTTTTTATGACTTACATGAAAACTAGGAAAAATATAATAATATAGATCAACCAAATAAGCATAGATAAGAAATTTGAAGTAATAGATCTGATGTGATTTACAATTAAGTAGTGCAACATTAATTGATCGACATCAATTCAAAAGAGAGACTTGGGCCAACTTTTGGTTCCGCGAGAGCCCACAAAACCAATCTACTTTTTGGGCTAATTCTAGGGTTTGGTTAGGGAAGAGCTTGCAATTAGATAAGATTCATATTAGGGGTGTTAAATGTTAATGGTTTACTCGATCTGTGAATAGGGGTGGCAATTTTTTATTCAATCCGCTGAACCCATCTAACCTACTCAGTATTTAATTCATCCAACCCGTTCATTTACTTGGCGGGTTGTGTGATCAACCCATCACCCAATCCACTCGTTTAAATGGGTTGGGTTGTGGATAACTATTGAGTTAACCATTAGAGACATAAGTATTAATTCTTTAGCCTCTTTTTTTAATTTTCTTTATTTGAATTAAATGATTTATAATCAATATATTAATTTTCTATTAATTATTGACTAAATTTAGTTTTGTCTTGAATCAACACACGTCACCCAACATAAATCCAAATCAATTTGACCCAAGTTCGGACTTGTTCAACGCGATTTGACCCGATCCATCATATACCGATCTGGGTCGACCCAAATCCAAAATAGATCCCTGGCGGGATGGTTCGGTATCGCTTGCTCTGCCCGGTTTGGATCATTTGGTCCAACCAGTATTCACAAAGCTCGACCCGACCTAGCACAAGACGATCCAAGTCAACTCGAATTCGAAACGGCTTCTAGCAGGGTGGTCCATTGTTCGCGTGGCTTGCTTGACATGGACCCTCCGGTCGACCATTATCCACGCAACCTGACCTGAATCCAGCCCGACTTGATTTACTTACGCGGGCCAATGGGTTTAGTCCCAAACCCGTGCACGAACCTGATATGGTCTGGTCCAAGTCAATCCACCATTGACTGAATCGGTCCAGTCCGCTCCGGTCCAACCAGACTGATCCAGATCTAAATGGTTCAACCACCCTTAATGTGATTAATTCAAAAATAATCCAATTAGATAGTTCAAGTTGATATGACCAGTTTGAACCTAAGTGGTTCGGTCAAATCCGAAATCTTAACATAGTCAAATGGCTTCGTCGCTTGTGTAAAAATAATTGCCACCAAGCTATGACCAACTTATTTTTTAAGAGAGAGTTAATTTGTTTTTTAAGTCCACAAATATAAAATTAATAGATTTTGACGAATTGGATTGGATTAAAGCGGGTTTGCGTTATACCCAACTCAACCCGCCCAATTGCCACTGCTACCTGTGAACCAGTTGGACTGAACTTTTTTTTTGTATTAATTATTTAATTCGACTACAAAGTCCAGTCTAGCTGTACAGGATTGTAATCAGACAACATGGAGCAATTATACATACATACTTCTTTTGTTTTGGTGCTGTGAAATGCATCTTATTAACCTGTAAATATTGTACCATGAGAATTTAATATTGCACCTTGTCGTGAGTGCAACATTACAACATTGATTACACAGGGTGTAACGTTATAAAGCTCAAGGTGCATTCATTTATAGTCCAGTTTCTTGATCGTATATAATGATTATAAAATTCTTCTAATGAGTCAATTGATTTTATTTTAGAAAACAAAAAACAAAATCATTCACAATGTGGAACATCCCCCAAGTTTGTCATTAACTGTACTAAAAAGTGAAAATTGTTCTGTTGTTAAATGGGTTAATGTTATTATTGAAGATAACCTCTCACTAATGATCAGAGCACATTGTGTATGATTATCATACAGTATAGTTTAAGGAAAAGAACCCTCACGCTGTGTTTGGAATCGGTATAAATCAAGAATGGCATAAAAGTTTATATCAGTTCGATTTTGTCTGTGTTTGGAAGGAAAATATAATCATGATCGACATAAAATTCTACATTGATTCAATTTTGCATGTATTTGGATAGAATGGAGTTTGACATCGATAATTAATGTAAAACCTATCAAATATAAAATTTTATATTAATTACACTCTTCACCCATCACATTTTTCAAAAAGCAACAATCACTTTTACGGTTCAGTGTAAAATGCCATCAGTGTAGTTTTACACCGATGATGTTTTACACTGATTTCAAATACAGTCTTATATTATATTTAGAAACGATCTCTTGTACTGCTAGAAAATAATCCCAAAGTTTGAAACAAAGTTCTGACTTCTGGGTGGATTCCAAGCCGACAAGCTCTATCTACATACTGCAGCAACGCACAAAGTATTTGACTCACCAAAGGACAAAACATAAACAGGGGTCTTGTTCCAAATGGAGAAAAGGGTTAAATTGTAATGACGTTTTGAACTGAAACAAATCTGACAAAGCATAGCCTAGAATGAGGGAGTGGGACCTTGTGAAATTCTTCATGAACAAAATTGCAAGATGAATAAGTTTGATTACATTTCATCAGACCATGAGTTTGGGTAAATAAATTCTTCATGGCCTCAGATGATCCCATGTATGTTAGGCCCATAACTCTCTTTGGCCTATTAAAACCAAGCCCAACCCATCATCTAAATTTTAAGTCCTTTTCGTATTAAACCTTTTTCTCAGAATCAAGAATATAAAGTTAGCGTAAACCCTAAGCCCTAAGCCCTAAGCCCTATGTGCATTTAAGTAACCTATCAACAAGCAATTGCCACTGTTTCAGTGTTTCCCCTAATTATAATATATAAGGAGAGCCTTTGAAGGTTCATGATGATAACTCTAAAAGCGTTGGAAAGAGAAGTATTGATTATTAAGAGAAGAAGCACTGAATCCACTTCAAAGCAAAGCTAGATTCTATGCAAGTAAAAGCATTAATTATCAGTACTATTCCAACACCATTGCAAGGACAAGGAATTCAGGGCTTTCTAGGACGAGTCCAGAAAAAATAAATAAATTATATTGGTTGCCCATCAACCGGATTTCTGAGATACCACCATCCAAGTAAAGACCCAATTAATACTAACTAAATAATGTAGATCAGTGAGATGTTGAATGCATTAAAGACCCTTAAATTCATTCTAAAAATGAAGTAACAAAATAAATTAGCCCTATGCCTGCTTAATTGATTCTCCACAAAGGCCAACAGGTTATAATTGGTCAGTCAGTGAGGTGTTGATTGTTGAAGCATGCTCAATTAAACTGGTTTACTGATACTGACCCATCCGGCCGGTTTAAAAAATGGAAATAGTTATAAATACTTTCTTTCACTTCATGAGCAAAATTTGGTAATTAATTAGACAATCATATTTTACCAGCAAATGTGGGAGGCCATTTCACTAGTAGAGCTTCTCTTTCAAGAATGTGTCTGCTTAAAATTAGGAAAGAAAGAACCATTAAAAGCCAACGCTCAAAATATTGATACATTCCGATATGCCGGAACATGCATATCGGGGTTTTGGCCGATACACTCTTCTTTTTTCTTTAGTTTTATTTTTCTTTTCAAAATTTTACAG